AACATAATCTTATTTTCTGTTTTGTTCTGTGGAAATTACTAGACTGATAAGATTCATATTTTAATTAGAAGCTTCCCAATGATTGATGTGGTTGCTCTCTAAATTCTAATATCTAATGGCCCACCAGGTGTGGAAAAACCATAAGTCCTTAAATTTAGCTGTAAAAAAAAAGGAAAATCTGGAAACTTTGGGGGGATGACTTTGAATTTGATGCACATGATACCTGGATTAGGTTGGTAAAGTCAACAAAATCGGTCATTAGATCGTTTTCACAAATTGGAAGTTAACTGCTTAGCATTATTACAGCGGCTGGAAACTCCAACCTTGACCTTGAATAAGGAGAGGCCAACTTAGTCATTAGCTTATTACTGCTTCTTCGTGGTTAATCAAATTGGGGACTGACTTTTTGCCTTCATCATTCTTCATTGTGCAGATGCATTCCATATAGATACAAAATTATCGAAACGTCTTCCTTGGATGAAGAAGAAAAGGAACTAGAGGTTCTTGTCATCAGTTCACAGAATGGGAAACGAATGTTATTTCCGAAGGTATATAACTATATGATTGTCATGATAAAATACCAACAAGTCAATGAACAATGTGATGTGTTTTTGGACTATTTAAATCCATTAATCTCCTCATGTCATAATTCTGCATACTTTTACCAGGGGGGCTGGGAATTGGATGAATCCATGACAGAGGCAGCCATGCGTGAGAGTCTAGAGGAAGCCGGAGTTAGAGGAACTATTGAGGTTAGTCTCATGTGCAGTTCTTTCTCTCTATCCAAATTACTTCCAGCTATATAGTTATACAAGTTGATTTTGGCTCCTCTTCATTGGAAGCTTAAACTAATTTCTCGTTTCTCTTTACTGCCTTAACTAATCAGTCGTACATATTGATATGTAATGATGAAATTTGTGTATTGGATACATTACAATCAACATGGGAATTCTGTTTTGCAGCGCAACTTGGGTATATGGAGCTTCAAGAGCAAAACACACGGCACTAATTATGAAGGATATATGTTCCCTTTACATGTTCAGGAGCAACTAGATACTTGGCCAGAAAAGAATTTCCGTCAAAGAGCATGGGTATGTACCTTTTAGTATAAATTGAGAGACCAAAAACCTTGGGTCTGGAATATTGTTGACCATATGCCAAAAATTTTCACTTATAGATGACTGTGGCGGAAGCTAGAAAAGCATGTCACCATTTGTGGATGAAGGAAGCATTGGATAGATTCGAACAGCGTCTCAAGTCTCCCGCAACAACAACACATTGAGGGAGAACTAGCACAACTTTTCTTTTGTTAAGGTGAGAATACAACTTACTAAGTTGAAATAAAATACATGGCAATTTCCCTTTTAGACCAGAAGAAGTATATGAAGAAAAGTTTAGGGATGTACCTATAAAACAAGAACCGGCAAGGGAGAAATGGAGACAGAATAGCAATAACAGGAGCTGGCCCTTTGGTCCTGCCTTTCACTTTCTTTGAGTATGAAAGTGGTACTGTAAATTTTAGGGCTTTTGAGCACTTTATGGCATCATGGCTTTAGCACCCTTTCACCCATTAAGCATGGGGCAGTGAAGATGTGTTAGGCTTGTAATTCTTCGGTCTCTTCTTTGGAAAACAAGATTATGTCTTCATAATTTTAAATGTATTGAGACACTTTGTACACCACAATATTTGAAATGAAAGACAGGAAATTGTGTAAGAAATATTTTGGTTTCTTTAAATTCTGTAAGCTGAAAATCTCGCCATGCATATAGGCGCCGGCCTGATGCAGAACGTGGGGTATTTGGGTGAGAATTTATTGTTTTGTCTTTTGATTAGGTTGATCTCCAACCACCTACAAATCAGTTGTCAACTATTAGTAGTCCATGAGGCTCCCCATGTGAAAACGATCTCTAAAACATCGATTTACAAATCCGCAAACTGTGTCAATGGGAACATTCATCTTTCGTCAAAGGTTGTTACCCCTAACAATTAATATTCAACGTGCCTAACATGCAATGGGCCTAATATATGATATGGACGTGTTAGGAAATAAGATTATTCAAAATTAAAAGGACTGGGTCTGGGTGGAAAGAAATGGAAAGTTTCAGCGACGGTCATTAATATTAATTTGGTTTTTTTTTTTTAACATTTAATAATGATGTGTTATATAAGAAAAAATAATATTACTTTTTTTTCTAAATCTCTTCTCACTTAATTTAAGGGTTGAATTTAAGATTTCTAATTTAAAATCTTAAGTTTTTAACTATTAAGGGCCTGTTTGGTTTAGTTTGTGAGAGATTTTGTTTTTTCAATACTGTTATGAGTAATAAGTTTAAATTTTTATTGGAGAAAAAATTTAAAAATCACTTTTAGAGATAGAAAAAAATAAGTGAAAAGTGAGTAAAAAGGAGTTTATGAAAAGTTTAGATTCGAAACTTTTAGATTTGAAGTTTTTGAGTTTTTACTGTTTAAAATCTTTTTAAAGTTAAAAAAAAATTAAAAATATAAGTTATTAAGAGAAAATTTTAAATTTATAAAATATAAGTAGTATCAAAAAATTGAAACTCCTAAAAGTTGACCCAAACATGCCCTAAATCACTTTCTTAAGAGTTATATTAGTTTGATGTTTTGTTATTTATATTGAATTATAAAATATTAATTATTAAGGAAAAAGAACTTTCTCCACTAACAGGATTTGCCTTCACTGAATGGCTATTGTTTTGCAAATACTATACTTTAGTCAAAGCGTAAAAGCTAAAAACACCTCAGCCACAAGGGCATTAGGACAAATCGACTTCAAATATTTTAGAGACATTTAAACGACATTGCTGAATGCGATATTTCTTTTCCTTCCATATCTTTCCCTCTTTGTTCTAACCACGATTTCTCCACTGTCCTTATCACCGTTTTCCTACAAAACTTTGTTAAGGGACAGCGAAACTATACTTGAAAATGTCGTACGTACAAATACACAAATTGGAAAAAACAAAAGCATCTTATCCAAGCCAAATTCCCCACTAGTATAACGACTCGTCAAGTCTACATACCTAGGAAAGTTTGAATTTAAGTTGTTAATACTAATTAATTTTGATATTTATTTATCATTAACTTGTATGACTCATCTAAGATTTAGAGCGTCATATTTATATATTCCATTTGTTTTAAAACAACCGTTGGTTTTTTACTTTAAATTTATCTTAAATTAATTATTATTTTTTTAAGGTAAATAAATATTTTTTCTTACTTCAACCCTATTATTATCTATTTACTTTAATTAATCATCCAATCACAAAAAGCTTTTTTTTTTATTTGTTAGTTTTTTTTTAAGGGTATTGTAGACAAATACAAATATTATCTCCAAATCCTTAATTAAAAAAAAAACGTAAATTACTTTGGGATAGAAAAAAACACAATTTATACTCTACTTCATGTGTAGCTAAGGGAATAAAAATATATTCACATTTTTTGTCCTTTAACTTAAACATATTTAACAGACTAACTAATGGAAAAATTAAAAAAGTACATTTTTCATAATTAAGAGACTAAAATGTACATAAAAAGGTTAAGGGATGAAAATTATATAAACCCTTAAAGTTGAAATATCAAAATTGACATTTAACTTTTTAACTAAGATCTCTACTTAAAATCTTACTTTCTCTTTTCAAAAATATTATAATTATAATATTACGTGATATTGTAAACTTATAACATGATATATTTTTTATATAATTAACTCTTTTTATTCAGATGTCTAATCATAATATTATATATATTTATTTATTTAATGATACATCACATATATTTAGTATTATATAAAATTATAAATTTATAATTTTATATGATATTATAATTATAATATCATCATTTACATATATATATATACGGATGTACATCTAAAAGAAAAAAGTTTTTCTTCTTTTCTCAAATTTCCTTTATTCACATTCTAATTTTTATGATTTAAACTTAAAACAATAAAAGGTTAAAACTCAAAACTTTTAAATTTTAACCATTTAGAATGTCTCTAGGGGACAAAATCTTACGCACTTAAATTCCCATATATTTGCTTGCTAGTTATCCCAACACCATAATATATTTTTTTTGGCTTCTTTTACTTTCCCCTTTCCTAAAGCCGACAACTTTTTTCTCTTCTATACTAATTAAGCAATTAACTACTACTTTCTTGTTTATGAGTACAGTTGTTCCTCTGTCTTCACTCGAAAAAGCTTTATGCGTTACAGAAGGCCTCTCATGCACCCACAAACACCCAAATCTAAAAGAAAAACGCAAAAGAGCTTTGTAATTTTTTAAAAAAGGCATTATACAAATTGGAAAGAGAATACTAAATTTTATGCAATCACACCTCATCTTCGTTTGGTGTTTGATGTTCTTCATATACATGTTAATTTGAGGCCATTTCCTCCCAGCACCATACACATCTAAATTATACTAATCATTAACCATATTGTCAAGTTGTAAAATTATTTGTACCTTTAGTTACAAGTTTGGGATTCATTTTCTAATCTAAATTATATGATCATTCATTAGTAACATTTATGGTTTCTTGTGGAAGTTAAATATAGTACTTAGTTTTGTAGATATATGAACTCATAATTTTCACTCGAGTTCAATTTTTACATTTAATAACTGCTTGATTAAACTTTTACTCATTAGATATATTAATAAAAAAAAATTTAGTGATGACTGCACATTAATAGTTGTCCAAACACTAAAATTACAAAAAAGTTATACTCTTAATAAAATTTTTTCCCAAATTCATTTATGAAAATTTCTAACATTTGTCTTAAGCAAGTATTAATTATATATTTTTACAATAAATTTTTGAAAAAAAATATAAAAGTAGATATTAGTTTTACAACTAAAGCTATTTAGATTAGTTTAATTAAATAGTTAATAAATTTAAAATTAATTTTTATCTTTTTAGTCACATGTTAGACAACTTTTATTTATTAATAATAATTTAATTATTTCAGTTCTCAAACTGCACATTAAAATATACACTAATTTGAAAACACTTGAGACTTATATACCAATATAGAATGAGAACAGAAAAAGAGCAAAAACTCTAATGGTTACTTTAACCATTGGCCTAGCAATGCCTACATATAACATTAATTACTCATTTGCATATACTACTGATCTTCCTTCATGCACACAAATTAATTAACCAAGCAAAGCAATGGCAACACCATCTTCGCTACTCTCATTCTTCTCCTTCATTCTCACCATCTCTTCCCTCACAATCCACACACTTTCTTCCTCAACCGACTCTTTCGTCTTCGGCGGCTGCACTCAACAAAAGTACGCTCCAAACTCACCTTACCAGTCGAACCTCGACTCTCTCCTCACCTCCCTGGTCAACTCAGCCGCCTATTCCTCTTACAACAACTTCACCGTAATCGATTCCAGCCCACAAGACGTCGTTTACGGTCTTTTCCAGTGTCGAGGCGACCTCTCCATGCCCGACTGCGCCACCTGCGTAGCCCGCGCGGTTACCCAAGTTGGCTCCCTCTGCCCCGCCACGTGCGGCGGCGCGGTGCAGATGCAGGGGTGTTTTATCAAGTACGATAACGCGTCGTTCTTAGGGGTGGAGGATAAGAATGTTGTAATGAAAAAATGCGGACCGTCGGTGGCGTTTGATTCAGAGGCGGAGATAATGGGGCGGAGAGATGCGGTGATGGCGGGGTTGATGAATGCTGGTGGGCCATTTAGGGAGGGCGGGGCGGGGGAGGTTCAGGGGTTGGCCCAATGTGTGGGAGATTTGAGCTTGGGGCAGTGTCAGGATTGTCTATCGGAGGCAATTGGACGGCTGAAAAATAACTGCGGCACGGCGGCTTATGGGGATATGTACTTGGGAAAATGTTATGCTAGGTATTACATCGGCGGAGATCACTATTATTCCAACGGCCATAATGGTAATTAAGTTACATATATATTTGCATTTTTATTTAGTTTTTTCAGCTTGAAATTGAGTTAATTTGTCCATTAAATCTTTCTTTCTAAAAATGTTTTTAATAGTGAAAAATTTTTGCACATAATAATTTCTGATAAAATTGCAGTTTTGAGTTTAAATATTCTAATATCTATATTTAATATGATTATGTAATAAAAACATATCACATGTGAGAATAGGAGGTTAAAAAATTAAGGAAGCTATGATGATTATATATCTTAGCTAATTTTGATTTGTGGGTTTTTGCAATTGTAGATCATAAATCTGGCAAAGGGGGTGACAAGATATTTGCAATAATTATCGGATTATTGGCTGGTGTTGCTCTGTTGATCATCTTTTTCACTTTCATAAGAAAAGCGTTTGAGGGAAATGGTAAGTGTCTGGACTTACAACTTTTTTTTTTCTTTTTTTTTAACTGTTCATGTTATTATTTTTGATACATCTGATTACGAGTTATATGATATAAAATAATCACTTTTATTTTAATCTTTTTCATTGATCTTTATATATATATATATTGAATTTAAGGCCTCCTATTTTAATATGTATTTATATTAACCCTTTAGCCTTTTAGAACCTTGGATTTAGGGTCATGCTAACATGATTCCTTGGATTTGCAGGGAAATGAAATATTCCAGCTTTTTTTAAACACAATGGCATGGATCTTGAACGTCTGCCTACTGAAATAATTTACTTTTTCTCCCCCCCGCCCCCACCCCTCTCACTTTTTCTCTCCATGATGCAACTTTCCTCTCTTCACTGTTTTCGATGTTTTGGGTTTTCCAAATAGGTGGTATTATATTACTCCCCAAATTAAATGAGAGCAAATGAAAAAATGCAATTATATATATTTGATGGGGCATGAAATGAAACCCAATATGCCCATACTGGAAAAGAAAGGACAAAAAGAGGACATAAGATTCCACTCTCCTCTTCCATGAAACATTGTTGTCTTGTCTTCTTTTTTTTTTTTCTTTTTTCTTTTTTCTTTTTGGCCAAAGAGTTGTATGTGTTGTCTAATGTGAGAAAATTGCTCGAATTCTTTTTGTAAAGGTGAAAATGATGTTTCTTGTTGTAATATTATAATTATCGTTTACCACAATATTTTCTCACTATAGTCCCACAATTATATCATAGTATATAATTAATTGTAACTCTTTTCATTTAATTTTAATGTAATTTGTCAATTAATATATATACATTAATTCACTCATTTAATATTATGTGATTACGTAAGATTTTTTTTGTAAGATAAGATTATTGTAATTAGACAATTTTGCTCTTGAGAGACTAACACACCAATAAATGGTTAGGCTTAGGGCTTAAGTCAAGGTTCTTTATTGACATATAAATATAAAAGAGATGCAAAGAGATAGGTTTGTAATTGTAATTGTAGCCTTATAGAGATTTATTTGTAAAACACATGAACCAAAAAAAAAGCTTCTTTAAGAACCATTGGACATTTTCATTGAATTTTTAATTAAGATCAAAATTGTGATTAATTAACCTGGAAAGAATATTTTGCAACCATGCGAAATTGAATCACAAGCAAAAGTTAGCATCCTCTTTCTCATATCAATAAAGTGAAGATTCCGATTTCTTTTCCTTTTCTCCTTTCTAATCCTTCTTTGTGCACACTTTCATAGGTGAATATTAAAAAACTTCATTCTCCCAAATTGGATCGCAAGTTCACAACCATATTCTGTTCAACGTGGCATTGCTTTCCATTTTCCTTTTAGTCCGTTCACTTTTAATATTTTCATCCAACTCACTTTATTTCTCATCCTTTCAATTGGCAGTCAATGCCACTATAAACAACATGTGATTTCACTATTTATCGGGTTTTAGATCGTCAACCAGCCAAAACACATTGAAATGAAAATCATTTCAATTTCTAAACAATAAAATCTACAATCTTTTTTTTTTATATATAAAAAATAATCACATCCCTTTTCATTTTGTTATAAAATGCAATAACCTCATATCTCTTGGACTGTTTGGGATGTTATTTTCCTCCATGTTAGAAATTCCATTCACATTCTCTTGGCAATCTACTTTGTCTTGGTTGTGTCACAAGGCTAGGCGGAAATCATTATATAGTAGTCTTATAAGATTAGCATGGTGTGCAGCAATGTACCCTATTTGGAAAGAGAGGAATACTAGAATTCACAAATGGATATTCAAAAGTGAGTTTGCAATTGTAAGTAAGATACAAATAGATGTCCATGACAAGGTACTTAGTTTTGCTAGAGCAAAATCTTCCCTTATACCTAAGAGTATTGCTTCAAAATGGGGATTAGAAGTTTTGTATAGAGATTGATATGCCATTTTTGTATAGCTAATTCATTCTTTGTATGTGAATATTGGTAGCAGCCTGTATATATTATAAAGAACTGCTTTGTGTATAATAGAAGTTTTGATAATAAAATTTACATTTTACCAAAAAACTTCTTATCTCTTACTTTTACAGAAAAAATTATCATATCTCTTTTTATCCACTAAAATTTGCAATAACTTCATAATCAAAATATCAAAGTAAACCCTTCTTGATCAAGTCTTAATTTAAAAAATTTGGGAATCCTTCTCTATGAACCCTTTAAGTATTATGGACTACAATCATAGTTCTAGTGGATTCCATCTATGCAAGATATGTGTCAAAAAAGAGCTAATAAAAGAAACATATATCATTTATCTCTTCAAAGGCAAGAATCATGGAGCATATCCCATCAATCAAAATGATTGATGTCAAAAAAGAACTCCAAAGAAGGAATGCTAAAGCCTAAAAGGGAAGCTACTGTATACAGAATTAAGATATAACCTGCAAAGTTAATGGCAACATGAACAACTTTTAAATCTTTAAAACTTTACATTTATCATTGTTGCATGGCATAACAAGCTTTATGTATGCTGCAAAGTGCAAACTATTCCAACGAGAAGACTCCATGATTAGTAGCAAACTCATAATGCAATCTTAAGGGTTAAGAAAGGGTGCTCTATTTCTTTTCCACATTAAAAAAAAAAAAAAATTAAAATAGCATATTGGCACCTCCCCTTCGACAGATAGGGTTGCTTTAGTGCATAAAACTTCTAAGAAAATATCATTTGAATAGAGGTATTATGTAGATAAAACCGAAAAAAAAAAATTCCATAAGTAGCTATGCACATCCATAATCCATGAATAGCTAAGAACTAAACCCTTTATGTAGATGAAAAAATAAATAAATTTCTAATGCTTGGTGGGGGAGATTTAGAAATGAGGAGAGAACCCATTAACCTTGCTCTAATTTTGATTTGCAAAGACTCTTTAAGCCCAACTATAGAGTTTCAGTTTTCCTCTTCGATAAGTTTGGGCCAAACAAAAGAGGTCGATAAACATTCTATCATAAAAGCCCAACCAAAAGCTATGAAGTATGCCCCTTGTATCAATTTTGCTCTTTGTCGACTCTTGCCTGAGTTAAACGATGTAATTACTTTTGACGGCTATGATCAATTGAACTGTGACTCTGTGAGATAGATGCGTTCTAGCAACACCTTATCATTTCCACATTCATCTTCTCCAATGTCCTGGATAAGCCCATACAGAACATTCTGGACACTCCCAAGAAAACCACCTACGATACATAAACTCAAACCCCAATTCTCTGCAGATTACAGTACCATTCAACACCAAGATCAAAAATGGCGGATGGCATATTTGGGTACCCCTTCAGGCGATTCTTTTTTAGCCCCCCAATCTTCAGGGAGCGGTCCGGATCAGTGGCTCTGATGGATTGGCTTGAATCCCCAAATGCCCACATCTTCAAGATCAATGTCCCAGGTGTCATATCCCTTTTCTCTTTGAATTTCAATCAATTCTTTAGCGGAATCAATCTTTAGTTCATTGAATTATTGTGGGTTTTACTTAGTTTAGAAATTTGTGTTAAAAAAAAATTCTTTTGAATTTGTATTTTAGATTGAAATTTTTTGATGGGTTTGGTTGACTGAGCAAGTTTGAAATTACTAATTTACTATGGATAGGATACAGCAAAGATGAGATTAAGGTACAGGTAGAAGATGGGAACGTGTTGCACATTAAAGGAGAGGGGGTTAAAGAGGAGTCCCATGCTAAGGACGCTGTTTGGCATGTAGCTGAGAGAGGAACTGGGAAAGGAGAATTTTCTCGGGAAATTGAATTGCCAGAAAATGTGAAGGTGGATCAGATCAAGGCTCAAGTTGAGAATGGAGTGCTCACTATTGTTGTCCCAAAGGATACAACTCCAAAACCATCTAAAGTCCGGAATGTTAATATCACTAGCAAACTTTGAAAGTTTGGAAATAAGTGAGCAATGTTCTGTGCTGCTACTGCTAGTCTGCTAGGCGCTAGGTACTAGGTGCTAGCAGCGGAAGATGTGTTGTAAAGCAAAGCTAAAATAAATAGACCATGTCTCCCATGTGTTTCTTGTTGAATAAACTCGGCAGTTTTTAGTACAAATTAATGTGGAAGGTGTTATGGAATTAGCTTCTAATTTTACAAGGTTCAGCGTGAGAAAATGAGTTTTATTTTACGAAAAAGATTGATGAAAATCATGATTCATGACATGGTGAACAATTCAATCATAATTTTTTTTTTTAAAAAAAAGATTGATGAAAATGATGATTCGTGAGAAAATGAGTTTGATTTTTATTTTTTTATAAGACATTGTTTAATATTGTTGTATTTTAATTATTAATTTTGATTTTGAAAATTAAACAATTAAAATTAATATTGTCACCTTATTAAGTATAAAATTCTAAAATAAATTTTCTTAACTTAATTAAATTATAAAATTATTTAATTTTAT